TTATAACCTATTACTATCCTTATTTATTTTGACATTCAAATTACTTTTTTATTTTTACACTAGAGGCCCGGTGCATGAAATTTGTGCATGGGGTGGGGAGAAGTCCTCCTCAGCCCAGCCTGCACCCTCTCACAATCTGGGACCCCCTGGGGGATGTCCGACTGCCCTCTCGCAATCCGGGACCGCTGGCTCCTAACCGCTAGCCTGCCTGCCTGATTGCCTCTAACCACTCACCTGCCTGCCTGATTGCCTCTAACTGCTCGCCTGCCTGTCTGATCACCCCTAATCACTCTGCATGCCTGCCTGATTGCCCCTAACCACCTCTGCCTCGGCCCCTGCCATAGCGGCTTCATCCGGAAGGATGTCCAGAATGACGTTTGGAAGGTTGTTTGGCTGTCTGGTCTAATTAGCATATTACTCTTTTATTATTATGGAGACTGTCATGTCATGCGTGTCTTTAAAGCCACATGTCCAAGTCACTCTCTTGTGTGCATTCATTTGGCTTTGTGTTCTGCCTTCTTTCTCACTTTATGCAAGGATTACACAAATCCAGCCTTTCCTCTTTTAAAAATTTGAATTATTATACGTATGTGGACCCACCTTCTCTGAGCTTAATGTTGTGTTTTTCCTACTGCTGCTGTCATTGCCCATGAACCTGATGGGTTAAGGCTTAGAGTCCTGAACTTTATAAAGACTGAGAGTCTTGTTCACAAGGTCAAGTACCTTTGAAACCTCCATTCACCGTGTCTTTTCCTTTCCCAAATTCATTGCAGTAAGCAGGCTTAAGAGTACATTTTGGTGATTTTATTATTTATTTATTTTACTTTTTAAAATACATTTTTGTTGATTTCAGAGAAGAAGAGAGAGAAACATCAATGATGAGAGAGAATCATTGATCAGCTGCCTCTGGCACTCTCCATACTGGGGATCGAGCCCACAACCTGGGCATGCACCCTTGACTGGAATCAAACCTGGGACCCTTCCATTCGCAGGCCGATGCTCTATCCACTGAGCCAAACCAGTGAGGGCCATTTTGGTGATTTTAATATGTGCATCTTCTTTCCAAGTCTATTTTTTTATATTCATGCTTAAAATATTATATTATTAAAATGACATGTTCAGATTTGAAGTTTAGTAATAATAACTCATTTAATGAGTATATACTTTGGTACCTGGAGAAATTTTTTTCAAATGTTTTATTGCTACTGTACAATTTTAAAGAGATATCTTAATCCAAGAGTCTGCATAACACTTGGGAAATGTTTTCTCTGCGACCGTTTGAAAACGGCTGTTGTCGTGCTGACTATAGCTTGCACTTCTACAGGGGAGCGTGAACATCAATTGTCAGTATTTTGCCTAATTTCCTTCGTTTTCAGGAGTGATTGAAAGCTCTGGTATGGAAAAGAGAATGACATTAACATTTAAATGTTTAGTAAAAAAAATGCAATATTTCTTTTTAAAGAACATTGTAAATTTTTTTAAAAAATATATTTTATTGATTTTTTACAGAGAGGAAGGGAGAGGGATAGAGAGCCAGAAACATCAATGAGAGAGAAACATTGATCAGCTGCCTCCTGAACACCCCCCACTGGGGATGTGCCCGCAACCAAGGTACATGCCCTTGACCGGAATCGAACCCAGGACCCTTGAGTCCGCAGGCCAACACTCTATCCACTGAGCCAAACCAGTTCTGGTGAGAACATTGTAAATTTTTACTCAAGTGTTGAACTGTTACATTCCCCAAAATGACAGGAGAGAAACTATGGTTGAAGAACTTAAAAGCTGCCCAGTTGGTGTAGCTCAGGGGTTGAGCGTTGACCCAGAAACCGAAAGGTTAAAGGATGGATTGCTGGTCAAGGGACAAGCCTGGATTGTGGGCTTGATCCCCAGTAGGGGGTGTACAGGAGGCAGCCGATAGATGATGTGTCTCTCTCCTCGATATTTCTATCTCTGTATCCTTCTCCTTCCCCATCTCTCTAAAAATGAAAAAAAAAAAAGAGAACTTGAAAGCTGAAGAGACGGTGAGGTTGGGGAACACTGTTTGAAGTAAACTGTTGACTGTCTTTAATTTTATTCTCATTAAAATCGGACTGCAGACAGCCCACTGAAGGAAGAGGGGAGGAATTCCTTTTAAATGAATCATAAAATATTAATAGTTTATTTTATCCAGTTCATTTCTACCTCCCACCTCTAGTAATTTTTTCAAAATCTACTTCCCCAGCACTTAAGGGATGCTGGTCAGTGTTTTGCATTATTGTAGCATACTAAGAGACTTTTTTTTCTCCTAAGTCTCTTTGCATACTAAGAGACTTTTTTTTCTCCTATGTCTGTTTGTCCATGCAAATATTTAATTTGTTGTTTATAGCTTGTAGAATTGTTGAACAATTCTTGGCTCTCAGCTTTTCTCACAGCACACTAGAAATTGGATTCTTGGACCACCCATTCAAGCAGAGATAAATAGGTATTTCTCAGACCTCTTCTACTGAGAGTTTTAATAGCCTTAGGCATCATGTGGGCACAATAACAGCTGGTTACTACTCTAGGGGGAAACTAAGACGGAGAGAGAGTCATTAAGTGACTTGCCCAACATCACACAGCTGGTTAACCCGAACTGTTAACTAAACAAAATCGTCTCTTAAATTGCTTGACTCGACTGACTGTATCGTTTAGTAGTTAAAAGTTCAGACTCTTGAACCCCAGTGTGACCATTTTCCTAAGAAAGTTGTGCATACCACATAGTACATTGTAAAGAGTGAATATTAGCCATTATGTCAGTATACATGCCAGCCCCTCTTGCATCCGTTCTTGCTCATTCCTTTTAGATAAAGGAATGCAGCTCTAAAACTCACTTTTTATAACTAAGTACTAGCTCTGAATCAGCTGCCCCAAATTCTAATTCTTGATGGAGACTGTTTGGGCCAGAATGAGATAATACATGAGAAATCACTTATACATGCTATCACAGCATAAAAGCGTGACGTGTTCACTTATTTTATATGGAGTTAATTTAGACGAATATTTCTCATAGAAAAATATTAAAAACACAAGAAAAAAGCCACCATCTGTTGTACAACCACCTAGAGATAACTGTTGTGGTTTTTTCCCTTTCGGCATGAGTTTCTGTGTTTTTTTTTAAAACCTAAGTTGGTCATTGAGGAACATTCAGTGGTCCCAGAAGGAAGATTATGCAAAGGGGAATCTGGTAAAGAGAACACCCGCACCTGATGTCTTTCTTTTTCCCCAGTGATAAGCCTCCCGATAATCCAGGCTCGTCATGATCAGTTTTAAAGGTGTAGAAAACCATTTGTCAGTTGTCTGGGTGATAAAAATGGCCGTTTTATAGCTCTTTGCAGGTCTGCCTGGTGAGGGGTCAATTCTTATGCTTTAATCTGCTCCTAACAGGACCGTGTTGGGCGTGGGGAGGGAGGCCTGGCTTGGCAGCAGTTCCTGTGACAGTAACAGCATCTTCAATGACCGCACGTTTTGTCAGAGGCAGCGATGGGCTGTGCTGGCTGTCGATGCTCATGCAGTCTCAGGCTGCATCAGTGGGGGGATCTGAGGATGTGATTTGCTTGCTGCGCCCTGTGCATCCAGATCACATCCAGCAATATTGTGTTCTCTTTGAGGGGCTGCGTTTTGAGCTGGGCATTGGCAGAGGTCGGAACAGGGAGCTAGGACATCCTGCAGATCGTTGAGTAGTTGGAAGACTCGAGGATGTTTTGCTTAGTAGGCACCCTAGGATGGCTGACAGGGACCCCATAGGGAAGAGGGAGTAGACTCATGGCTGCAGGTGGCAAAGCTACAGACCTTGGAGAGCAACGAGGTGGGGGTTCTCCCCGGCTTACTGTAACGAGTGTGTGCATGTGTTATATGTAATTGTCAGGACTGTCTAGTAATGCAACAGACCTTAGGAAGGAGTAAGTTTCTGGTCACTGAAGGTATTTAAGCTGAGACTGGATGGATCCCTGCCACAAGATTCTATAAAATGCATTTCTTCCCTGGATTTGCTTTTTATTGAGCTCTTCTTATATGTCAGGGACTGTGCCCAATGCTGAGGAGACAGAGGTCAGTACGATGGGCAAGAGCAGTAGTTCTCAACCTTCTGGCCCTTTAAATGTAGTTCCTCATGTTGTGACCCCAACCATAAAATTATTTTCGTTGCTACTTCATAACTGTAATGTTGCTGCTGTTATGAATCATAATGTAAATATCTGATATGCAGGATGGTCTTAGGTGACCCCTGTGAAAGGGTCGTTTGACCCCCAAAGGGGTCACAACCCACAGGTTGAGAACCTCTGGGCAAGAGGCTGGGTTACATGACTTTAAAGATCCCCTTATGGCCGGGGCTGGAAGAAATTGCTTGTTGCTTCAGTTTCCTTTGCCTTGATAAAGCGTGGAGCTCTGATCTGTATATTCCTCTGCCTTGTGGACACTGCAGCGTGTTCCTGTCATATTTCTTCTATGACGTAGAGTAATGCTTCATCACTCCCTGAAAGACTGTTGGCCATGCACTCATGTACAGGACAATATTTTATTCTCCCACTTTTGAACATAGAGGTAAAAGCTGACTGTAGAGTTGATTTTTCATGGCAAATGTTTAATTCCATGCTGACTTACATATGTTTTCTTAAAGACTCGAGATATGTCAAAAAGTATAATGAAAGCAGAATGCTTTTTGAATGTAAGGTGATACTACATAGGAATGTTGTTGGAAGTTCATTGTACTTCAGACATATTTGGAGGATTCAGGCTCTAACGTTATGCTTATTTTTCTGAGGGGAGTCCTAGTGTGTGTATACCGAGATACCCAATCTCCAACTTCAATATTTGCAAATTGACCACATATCGGTGCTGATTCTACTTCTGCCTGCAGAGATGAGGCAGTACCAGAAGGAGCAGAGGGGCCAAGAACAAACTGTGCCGATTGGGAGGTGATCTTGGGGTCTCTGTACATTTTGGCCCATCAAGTAAGGCCAGCTGTTGGTTTGCTTCACATCTAGGTTTGGAATTCACCCAGTTGCAGGCCGGATGCCTGGCCAGCTTAATGTGCTGCTGGCTGAAGCTGGGGTGCCATATGATATTGTGTTGGAAATGGACGAGATCAACGAGGACTTCCCAGGTAAGCGATGGGGACGATGGTGACATCGACTTGTTCTTAGGGTGACTAAAGCAATGCCAGTCCCGGACAGAAACTGTGGGGTCACGGGAGACCTGCTCGTCAGATGGGGGGCAACCTGCTCCTGGTGGGGATGCAGCCACAATGACATAAACAGAACAGTGCTGAATGCTTCACCCGGGTTGTAAGCAGCACAGGTAACTCTGCTCCCGGGAGGAGAGCTGAGGGATGGAGCAGGCCCTGGGAGATGATGCAGGGAGTGGGGCTGCCCAGGGACTCGGGACACACCTGGCTTTGGAATCCAGGCCCTGACTCTCTCTCTCTCTCTCTCTCATGACCTTGAACTAGTTACTCAAGCTCAGGCTCCTCATTTATAAAATTGCTGTTGATAAATCAGTGTCTGATTTCTGCAGGGTTTACTGGTTTCCAGTTGTACCAACTCATGATCAGAATAGTATTTTTCTGTCCCCTTTAAAGTACTAGACTTCACTGGACAAGGTGCTGTCCTGTGTGGCTGTCATGGGTCTTGGTTGAGTGCTGATGGCATTTGGCCCAAGATCATGTTTGTTAAAATTAAACCAGTTCCCTCTGGCAAGTGTCCACTGTTAACATAAAAAACTAACAAACTGTTTGTTAGAGAAAAATAATGAAATCGTGTGTATGTCTCGATTCACATGGCATTTTGGCAAAGTTCTAAGGTCGTTCACATTATAATGCTTAACGAGGGAATTTAGGCCATTTTCATTTTATGCCTCCTTTCAGATTTCACTGTTGCTAAATTATGTGTGAAACCTGCCAGTTCCAGGAATTATGGACACAGCTTAAATATAGTACAGACTTATAGACCATTTTCTTTTAGACAGCAAGTTGCATTTATGGGGTCATCTTAGACGTTGAAAATGGAACACAGATATTCTAAAATATCGTAATTGGCAAGATCACTTTGGGATAATCAAAGAACTATATAAAGTCACGTTAGGGGAAGGGAAGCAGAATAATGCAAGCTCCAGCCAGGATGCTCAGGTTAGATTCAGGCCTATTGCTTTTTAGCTGTGTGACATTGGCTAAGTCACTGAACCTCTCTGATAAAGCCCTTGGTATGGTGCCTGGCACAGCGTGGGTCTTACAAACATTAGCTCTTGTTATTATCATTATAAAGCCAGATCACTCTCATTTTCCTGGAAAGAAGTGAAAGTGACTCCCCTGAGTTTTATATTTTCTCTTTTTTTCTTTCATGGTGTAGACACTGATTTGGTCCTTGTCATTGGAGCTAATGACACTGTCAATTCAGCAGCTCAAGAAGACCCCAACTCTATTATTGCAGGCATGCCGGTTCTCGAGGTCTGGAAGTCAAAGCAGGTAAGTTCCAGGCTCATGCTTCATCCTAGTTACACACACGCAGAGCTTTGCTTGGTCACTTTATGAGAAGTGACGAAGGCTTGTGGAGGCCCAGGAGTTGGAGTAGGATTAGGGTCCAGTTCTCCTGGTGCAGCTTCTGTGCTCTGTGGCCACCGGAGAATCTGAGTGAATGCCTCGATCACAGCAGAACCAGAGGGGATTGTGCAGCTGGATTCACGGAATCTGTAACCGCAGCTGAACAAGGGCTTTTGGAATGAGTCTGGCCGAGTTCCAGGTTGAGTCCCGTGGAGCAGATGGCTTCTCTCTGGGACAGTGAGTCATACATGAAGACGAGCACATTTTTTCATTTAATGTTATCGAAAAGGAGTTTGTATGTCGTTATGGGGTGTCTGAGAGGAAGGTGACTTGGAAATCGGACAGCAGCGTGGCATGAGGAAGCAGGCTCTGCACGCGCACAGACTCCTGAAGGGCGGGCTGGTAGGTCGTGGGGAGCTGGGCGCTTGCCAGGTGTCCTCTGCCCAGCTGTGGGCACGTTTCTTTACCACCCCTAAGTCAGATCTGCATTTTCAGAACCCTGGTTACAAAATGTACATTTTCCCCTTTCATTTTGTTTCTCTTTACTGTACACATGAGTTTAAAACTTAGTGTTTGTGGTACGTGAGCAGATATGCCAGGTACTGGTTCATGGGATATGAGAAATTATTGCATTGGTCGTTAATATTTGAGAGTTTGCAGAACCCTTGGCAGTGTGGCTTAGCAGTTAGAGTGCTGGTCTGTGCACTGAGGGGTCATAGGCTCAATTCATGGTCAAGGGCACATACCTGGGTTGCAAGTTCAACCTCTGGCCCCTGCCCCAGTCTGGGCACATGCGGGAGTCAACCAGTTGATGTGTCTCTCTCACATTGATGTTTCTCTCGCTCTCTCTTTCCCTCTTCCCCTTCACTCCCCTCCCTTCCACTCTCCCTAAAAATCAATGGAAAAAATATCCTTGGGTGAGGATTAACAAAACAAAGCAAAGCAAAACAAAACAAAACAAAAGAGTTTGCAGAGTACACTGCTGTACTAATGCTGTTTGAAGCGGGAACGCGTTTGTACTACTTTCCTTCTGGGATAGATGGCACGTCCTTCTATGGGGAGGCTTTTCTTTTCATTAAGAACTGACTTGCTATTCAGCAGGACAGCACCAGCTGTCATCTGTGTAATTGTGAATGTCTGTAGCACATCAGCATCAGAGACGGACTTCCCTTCCATCCTGTTCGTAGGACCGCAGTATTAGTTATTAGCCTCTCCTGGTGACAGCTAGGGTGCGCTTTGGGCTACTGTGTTAGAACTTTCCGATATGTTTTTCCCTTAAAGTGATGGAACAGGACTGATACCATTTCCCCACTCAACTACATTTATTTTAAAATGTGTAGTAGAAGCTTAATCAGTGTGTTTGTTCTCTTTAGCCCATTCATAGAAAGATGCATATTTTTCTGACTAGAAAATGTCATACATAGTCTTTGTGGACAAAAGCACTAAGAAGAAAGTCACAGTCTGCTCACGCAGATATAAATTATTGTTCACATGGCCTTTTCTCTCATTGGTATAAAAGTATGGGCACATTTTAAAAATTAACGTGAATACCATGTAAATACGCATTAAAAGTACTCCTTGTGCCTGGCTGGTGTGACTCAGTGGTTGAGCATTGACTATGAACCAGGAGGTCACTGGTTTGATTCCAGGTCAGAGCACATGCCCAGGTAGTGGACGTGCAAGAGGCAGCCAATCAATGATTCTCTCATCACTGATGTTTCCATCTCTCTCTCCCTCTCTTTGGTCAATAAAAATATATTAAAAAAATACTCCTTGTATATTTTAAGAGTCTCTGAACTAAAGAACTGGTAGAGTGGCACATGCCTGTTCAGAGTGAGGGCAGGGCAATGTTTGTGTGCCTAGCACCCAGCCCAGGCTGTTACATACACTCTCTCCCTTCATCTTCGGTTCCTAGGTCATTGTTATGAAGAGGTCCCTGGGCGTTGGCTATGCAGCAGTGGACAATCCAATCTTCTACAAACCCAACACGGCCATGCTGCTCGGCGATGCCAAGAAGACCTGTGATGCACTGCAGGCGAAAGTTCGAGAATCCTACCAGAAGTAAACTTCAAGCTGCTGTCTAGCAGCAGGGGAACTTATGGGAACAGGCAACGGAAGTATCAATGTAGACAGACAGCCGATGCACATCTGTAGCAAACAAAGCTCCTGCACGGGAAGGAAGACCCCGAAGAAAGCAAAGCAATTGCCGGGAGATTTTTCAAGAGCATATTTAAAAAAGGATTGAAAAAATTCTACATGTCTTTCTGTGCATTTCTTTTTGGTGTTATAAATCAAAAGTATTTTATAAAAGGAGAAAGAACAGCCTCATTTTCAATGTAATCCTTTTGGATTTTTTAAAATTCCTGCTCAGTAGCCAATAACGTTTTAAGAAATTAAGCCTAGGATTTGAAGACTTAACCAAAAACATAGATCTGAAAAATCTGACGCAGTGTAAACATTACAGGCACCTGCGTCAATGGTTTTTCCAACAAATGTGACTAATTTGAAACTTTCATCAACTCCGGAGCTGACCTCTGACCTTCAACTGTCATCTGAATCAACCATATCAAATTGGGTTTGGTTTTTCAGACTTTAATTTCAATTGTAGATTTCAGGGGTGTATTTTCTCACTTCTATTTTAATATGTTAAAAGACTAGGTAACCTTCCAGAGATGCTGGAAACAGTTAAGCCATTTGCTTTGTATGTTTCATTAGGATACCAATGAAACATAATGTGAAATCAGTATTAGTTGTATTTTTTAAAACCCCATTTCTAATCGGAGATCTCTTTAATTTCAATCAATTTATAATGTGTAGTACTGTACTAAGTGCACTTGAATGGAATTCAACTATTTGCCTAATAAAATGAGTTCATTATGTTTGCACATTGATGTAGCAATTGTCTCTGGCGACAAAATGCTAACATTGAATAGCTCTGCTTGTTAGTAATATCCGGGGAAGACTTGCTACTATAAAGTAGATGAAATTAATCTGTCTTAAGGTTCACAAGAAATCCTTTTTTTTTTCCACCCACAAATCAGAGTGTGCTTTGAGGTCTTACGTAACTGATCACATTTGGGAGAAATGGTGGCACGTTTTTTCCCCCTTTAGCTACTAGTGCTTTGTTTAAGCGCTAGGAAAGGTCATGTCTTTTTGCAGTAAAAGTGTATATGTCCTTTGTGATGTTGCTACATTGCCAAAAGCTCTATAGAGGATGCATGTGTGATGAGTTTCTTGAAACAGTTATTAACACCTAAAAATGATTTCTAAACCAGAAAAATAAGTGACTGGTGTGAAATTTTTTTTACTGTTATGCTCATGTTTATTGAGTTTACAACTCACAATATTTGTTGGTTTGGTAATCAATTTCTGTTTTGCCATGCTTGCAGTTAAGATTGTGTGTGTGTGTGTGTGTGTGTGTGTGTGTGTGTGTGTGTGCGTGTCTTAAAGCAGAAAGGATTCCTTTTAAATTTTTGAGGGGTAAATGCAATTTGTTAATAGGACTCAGGTTATAAGTAACCCTAAGAGTGAATTATATCATTAAAGTCTTATTAGAAGCAAGTAGATCGTATCTCTATGCCCTTTTCCTTTTCTAGTTGTAGATATACCTGGAAAGCAGTGACTTGGATTTTTTTTTTTTTTTGAGAAAATTTCTGCATTCAGTTTAAATAAAAAATAATTATACTTAGATTTTAAATTTATTTTTATAATTTATAGTAAATACTTTTTAGAATTTAGGGTGATCTCATTCTTTGATACTCAGTAATTCTTTGTCATTCGTGTTAATTGAATTGAAAATTTATGATGTAGTTGGTTTTATTTTACTTTTTGATTAGGATACTGAAATTTTTTTGAAACATAATTTCTTAAATCAATACTCTAAAAGGTTGGTGGTCTTAGATTATTAATTATAGTGAAGTCTTAAATCAACAAAGATAATTTTCACCCATTCAATTTATCATTCCTCCTTTTCTGATCAGTCACACACTGAGAATAAATGACAATTTTATTCTTGTATTGTTCACTATATCTTTTTGATATTCAAATATAAATACATTTTTTATTCCATTGTACCCTATTGTCTGGTATCAAAAAATAGGCATTTCACTTAGGCAGTGAAATGCTATTGCAGATTTGTCTTTTAGGCTTTACTAATCGTCCTTTATTTTTTCTGGTTTATTTTTTCTTGTTAAATTGAGAATTTGTGTTTAAGTTGCTCATTTAAGGAAAGAGCATATGTAAGTCAATGTATAAGTTTTATGCATTATACATACATTTCTGTCTACCTGTTTATGTCACTTTGGACAGTTTCTGGTATAAAATCTTATCATGCTGTAACTTTTTTTTCCTAGGAATTGGAATAGAAAGGACTAAGAGAGAGGAAGAATCTCTTCCTGCAGGGGGCGCTCAGGCCTTCACTGAGTGGGGGGATAGCAGTTAAATTTGTGGTAATGGATGTGGAAAGTGGGCCTTGGCCTTGTGGATTCTATCTGAGTCATGACCACCCCGACTTTCAGATTTTGCTGTTTTCTTGTCCAAAGCAAATATGGGAAGTATTATGCACCAGTCAGCTTTAGGGTTTAGCTCAATTTATGTAATCCCATAGACTTTTCTGTATAATTAATAACTCATAACCCATGTGTTCATCTGACTTAGAGGCACATTTTCTAGTCCCCGAAGACATGAGTCTTGCGAATGAAAGCATTTTAGTACTGGAAAGTTGGATAGCTCTGTCGTGCAACTAGGGAGAATAGTTCAAATATCTAATTTATAGCTCTTGCCAGTTTTGGAGAGTCTTTGCCAACAAATGTTATTGGGTCAGAATGGTAAAAACAACAACCCCAAACTCTTCACTCCAGTGGCAGCAACTTGCATAACCCAGCTGCTCTTTAGATTCTGAAAAGAAAGAAGAATTAAGTTAATTAACGAAGAGAAAAGAATACTTTTGTAAGTGAAACTTTTAAAGTGTTCATTTAGTAAAGCAGCAGAAATGGGAACATTTGAATTTCAAAGCATTCAAGATTGCTGTTCTTAAACTCTTATCTCTTAGAAGTTACATATTGGGCTAAGGAATTGGACTGTTTTTGTTTTCCCCCCACTATTTAAGGGGTTATAGATATTTAACATGGTGTATACTGTAATTCTGGATGGAAATCTTTTGGATGCTGGTAAAAGAATGATGTAGGTGATGAGACAGCAATTAGATATGTGAAACTCTTACATATAATGATTAAGATAGTGGTAGGAAAAAAGTTAGGTCATAGTAGATAATTTCTTTGGGGGGAAGAGTAGAAAATCATATTGGATAGGTAGAGGAAGGGCAGTTTAGGATTATGGAGAACTTGAAAAGCTAGGGCCCTAACTAATGGGCAGATACTACATCTCTGTCATGTTGACGTCAAAGCATTGTTCTGTATAAATAGTTGCACTTCATATTCTTGCCAAAGATCGCAACCTTGAACTTTGCTTTCCAGTTCTTTCTGAAGCGTATTTGTGAGGAATAATACTAATGGAAAGGTTGTCGCAAGGATGCGGAGTCCGGCTTACCCCTGGATAGTTCACATTCACCCACAGACCAAGCCAGACCTTCAGGGAGCTGGGTGTGTGGGCGGGGTTGCTGGGGTCATTGTGAATAGCGAAGACATGGAGGGACAGGCATGGAGACGTAAAGTGACACAGCCATGCAAGGCGCCTGACTTCAGGGGCAAGTACACATGTGGCAATAGGATGGCGCAGAGCAGAAGTGCTTGCCTTGGGCTTTGAGAACTGAGGAGGGGATGTGGATTTGGAGTATGTGGGTCACCTGGGATGATGGTGGCTCATTCCCAACCCCCATAGTGGAGGTAAGTGAAAAGGGAAGTGAGAGATCAGAGAAGGGAGTCCGAGGTGCTCCTAGTCCCCCTGTGGTAAAGGTGGCATATGAAGATCTACCTTTTCCTTCCCCCTTCCTGTTGCATTTGGGGAGATGAAGACCACACAGCAGCACTGGGATGTGGTGTAGGGAATAGCAACAACCCATGGGAAGGGACCATTTGGACACTGAAGTAGGCCATTGTTCTCGATCCTCCTTTTTCTTGGTTTGGAAAAGCAGAACTTGGGGGCTTCTCCCATAAGGGGACAACTAGATTTAGCCAGGGAACTTCTGTCTAAACCAGCCCTTTTCAGGAACTGCTTTTCCAAAGCCAGTGAGTGGCTGTCAGCCAGCCTTGTTCCCCCTTCTTTCTCCCAGGGTGGGGGTGCACCTTCCACAAGAGCAGGGAGCTCACACGAAGGCAGCAGGTCTTGTGGTTGGTTAATTCCCTTCAGACCCTGTGAGTCTGGTCCCCTGCCACACACACAGCGAGAAGTGAGCAGTCACATCTAAAACTCCAGAGAGCTGGGAGGAAGCGAGACTAAATAACCCCCTTTTATTTATGTCAGGAGGGAGCTGATTTCCTCCCCACGGCATGAAACAATGTCACGGTTTTATCTTTAGAACTAGAGGCCCGGTGCATGAAATTTGTGCAGGGGGAAATCTCTCAGCCCGGCCTGCAATGAAGCTAGCATCATACGCCCCCACCTCTGGCCAGAGGTCCTCCCTCTGAGCAGCTGGGGCGTGGGACACTGGGCTTGTTGCTGGGGGTGACTGCAAGCCCAGCGTCCCACGCCCTGGTCTCTGGCGAGAGGCCCCACCCTCCAAGCAGCTGTGGTGCAGGATGCTGGGCTCACATCGCCAGGGCGCCGCTGCTAGCGTCTCCCCCACCCCCCTATGGGTGTCGCCATCTTTGTTGCTGAGTGACAGTTAATTTGAATATTCCTCTTTTATTAGATAGGATCTTTTGTCACTATAGTCATCCCCCCTTATCTGCAGTTTCATTTTCCATGGATTTAGTTGTTTGCAGTCAATTGTGGTCTGAAAATATTAAATGGAAAAATCTAGAAATAAACAGTTTATCAGTTTTAAATTGTGTGCTGTTTTGAGTAGCCTGTTGTTGAATTCTCACGGGTCCCACTCTGTCCCCCTGAACGTGAATCATCCCTTTGTCCAGCGTGTACACACTTTACATACTGTGGATGTTGTGGTTATCAGATTGACATTGTGTTTAAGTAACTTTTTTTTCTTAATAATGGCCCCAGAGCCCAAGAGTAGTGATGCTGGCAATTCAAATATTTCAAAGAAAAGGTGTAAAGTCCTTCTTTTGAGTGAAAAGGTATGCTTGTATAGGATAAAACAGTATATAAGGTTCGGTAATATACGTGGTTTCAGGCATCCACTGCAGGTCTGGGACATATCCTTCTTGGATTAGCGGAGACTACTACACTCTCCGAGTTTACTGGAATACTATGTGTCAGAAATTACTCCTGGAAAAGGCCTTTGAAAGCTTTTAGGGCTTTACTGATTCATGGAAAATTTTGTTCTTGCAAATGGTAGCTCGCTAGCTGTGTGGTTTTGTCCCATTGGGTATAAATGGACATGGACATTTAGACACATTTCAGGTCCACCCTGAATGGGGACAACTGCTTCATTAGTGTTGGGTATAAATGTAGTAATTTGGAAACATGGTCTTATAGTGGTTAGAGTCATCATTGTAAATGAGACCAATAGAAAGTTCAAAGGCTATAGCAGAAAATCCTATGAGGATGCTGTACGTGTAAGAAGTTCAGAGTACCTGCATGGGTTTTGGTCTTTGTTGTAATTCATCTTGCCCAGAACACTGTATAGGCAGCACCAAAGCGTGGATTTTAGAGATGAACCCACGATGAGTAATTGGATGATGGCATACCATGAAGGTGCTGCTGACATCTTGAATCACTGTTGGTTACACATTTCTACAGTGTATATCTCCCTTTTGATAAAATAAGCACAACGGCATGTTCATAAATATGTTGCCATTCAGGGTGGGGG